TCTAAATAAATAAACGGTTAAACAGGTAACAACTAAAATCATTCGTTGAATTTATGCATCAAAACATTATAATACACAATATATGGTGTTTTCCCAGAATGGATATTCATTTTGAGATTGGTAAACAAATACATTTATTACATATCAAGTACATTTGAAAAAATAATTTGATAACTGATATGCCACAGATATGTGACATATTGTGCATTATTCATCCCTAATGAAACTAAGATATATGCATACAAATAAAAAAGGGTGGACCCACTTTATATTAGATGTCTTTAAAGGGATAGTTCACTTTGAAATAAATTTTTGGTATGTTGTAGCTTACCTCAAGGGCATCCAAGATGTAGGTGTCTTTGTTTCCACAGTAGTTTCAATTTTGATATTTTTAGGTCAAACCGTTCTTGTCTGTCAGTCATATAATGCAGGTCTATGGTCACCACCTCAAAGAGCATGCACAGAGAAGTCCAAATTAAACATGATTTAATGACTCGTAAATGTAAGTACACATTGATGGCCAAAGACACGAAACGAGCGGTTTGTGTGAGAAAACAAACAGTATTTATATCGTTTTTACCTCTTGTAAGTAACCACTTGTAAATGCCGGCACCCTCAGACCTCTTGGACGTGGCTGTGGTTACAAGAGGTAAAAACGATATAAATACTGTTCGTTTTCTCACACAAACCGCTCGTTTCGTGTCTTAGGCCATCAATGTGTACTTACATTTACGAGTCATTAAATCATGTTTAATTTGACTTCTCTGTGCTTGCTCTTTGAGGTGGTGACCATAGACCTGCATTATATGACTGACAGACAAGAACGGTTTGACCTAAAAATATCAAAATTGAAACTACTGTGGAAACAAAGACACCTACATCTTGGATGCCCTTGAGGTAAGCTAAAACATATCAAAAATTAATTTCAAAGTGAACTATCCCTTTAAGTATGTACTAATATTTGAATCACTGTGCACTTATGTATGTTTTTCATTGTACTTTTATAAAAATAATATACCTGCATGAATTGACCTTTACCTGCTGTAATTCATTTCCTTACCCTTAAACTTACCCATACGAACACTGAGTACATTATACCTAACAATACTTTTTTTTAACATACTGTAAATACTCAGTACTGTAGTTGTAGACACTTAATATAAAGGGTGACCCATAATGTTAATGATGAACTTCCTAGTGAAAAATCATTAACTATTATTTAAGTTTCAGCCAAAATGACAATTATATCTCAAAATCCCACTTTGTGCAAGCTAGTTTGCATTCTTAGATCTTAACTTGGTTGAGACAACAGTGACCCACTGTGACTTAGCCGCTGTCTGAGCATAGTAATGACAGAACAAAAAAGACGAATCATGTCCTGGGCCATCCATCTTGGCTGGCGGCGGCTAACCAGTGTAATAATCAGGATTATTATTTATAATTAGAGGAAGTAATGGATCACTCGTCGCCGGACGGGCGGCTCATTAATTCACCTGGGCCTGCTGGGATTGTTTCGATGGGGTCTGTTTTAAGCGCTTCATCTGAGTCACTGTCCACCGGAAGACGACTCACACTCTCTGGATTAGTTTGTGCGTTCCGCTCCAAAACCCCACAATCATCATGCGATCCGTGCAGAAAAGTGACTCATGGTCAAAGACTGTCATTAATGACTAAATATGGAGCTGATTACTGAGGTTTGCTAGATGCATCTTATGACGTAGGTTTTCACGGCTGGGACATGTTAAGGCTTTTTGTAAAAAAAAAAAAAATTATTCTGAGCTCAACAACATTTATGTTATACTTTATGTAGTAGGCCTCTTTTTATAATTAAGAAAAAAAGAGAGAGAAATATCAAATTGCTCACTAAAAATTGCAGGTTTAATGCTGAATGAGAGATATTTGGCGAGATTTGTTAAGCAAACGTTTTGTAGATAAGACATGTTTCTAATTGATGTTGATAATGGTGCACATGGTATTGACAACAACTGATTTAAAAGCTAAATCCACTTAAAATCTAAATTAGGATATGCAATAATTCTTTTCATCAATTTATTCTGTAGATTACGTCATCACAAGGAATTCATCCACTATGTCAACCCTAAAAGTGGAGGCAGACAAGGGTGACAGGTGAGAGCTGTGAAAGATACATTTAAGAAATTGACGCCTCAGTATTTTCATATAGCATTTCAACTGTCTAATTCTAATTTACTGTTCTAATTTAGACAATAGAGTCAATTTGGAGCCTCTGTCAAATGAGCATGATGGATTTTCTGATTTCCATCAATTTGTTGATGGAACTTGTTTGAGTTTCAATTCTATTTCTGGCAACTTAAATGAGGATCTAATGATCTAATCAAATCAGTTCCAATTCACAACCCATTTTTGGCATCCTAAAGATCCAGATGAAATCTCATTTCCTCTTGATGGACCACATTGAATGAGATGGCTGATGTCTAATACTTATTAGGTGGTGACAAAATGGCCTAAGACACGAAACAAGCGGTTTGTGTGAGAAAACGGACAGTATTTATATCGCTTTTACCTCTTGTAACCACAGCCAAAAAGCGCCCGCGCCCTCAGATCACTTGGACGTGGCTGTGGTTACAAGAGGTAAAATTGATATAAATACTGTTTGTTTTCTCACACAAACCGATCGTTTCGTGTCTTAGGCCATCAATGTGTACTTACATTTACAAGTCATTAAATCATGTTTAATTTGGACTTCTCTGTGCATGCTCTTTGAGGTGGTGACCATAGACCTGCATTATATGACTGACAGACAAGAACGGTTTGACCTAAAAATATCAAAATTGAAAATACTGCGGAAACAAATGAATTTCAAAGTGAACCATCCCTTTAAAGTCGGCACAAAATGTAAGTTGCGATAGTCTTTTCTCCCCTATTGGAATGTAAATCTGAGTGAAACAGCTTCTCAAACAAGAAAAAATGTAGGGTGGGACATTATTTTGTCCATCGGGAATTAATTGGATGGTTGGACGGTTGTGGTTTGCTATTGGTCGATCTCATGTGAGTGACAGGTTGTCAGTAGTACACATGTCATTAGAGAGAAGAGATGTCATTGCAAGAGGGAGGGGAGTTATTTTGATTTTAGATTATGAGGGCACATGAGTTAAAAAAATTATAATTAAATTAAAAACATTTATAATAAGTACGCCAATATAACAAAAATAATAATAATAAAAAAAGAATTGTCCATTTTGATTTCATGGTGATGAAAGTAATTTTATCGACATTTAATGTATTTTTTCCTAGTCATTGATTTGTTTATAACTTCTGTCCTAGGATCTTCCGAATGTTCTAGTACCTGCTGAACCCTCGTCAAGTCTACAACCTGGCCAAGAACGGCCCCATGCCTGGGTGAGTGGCAACATCTTAGCGTTCTAACAGAAGCGTAATGCTCACTCCTGTCTAGGACATTCTCAGTTTATGATCCTACATAAGAGTTACGACAACCAGACGTTAACAGTATATTGTATATGCAGACACTGCTTGATGGTAATGTGCACTAATTCATGCATGACAATCTCTGTCTGTGTCTTAGTTGCAAATGTAGACATTATTAAAGGGTTAGATCCTCCATCACAAACACAGCAGAGAACAAAGCCGGGCTGTGGAAGTGTCCAGTGCTGACAGTCAGCTGGTCATAATAGATTCATGTTAGTGTTAGTGTGTTGCCGCTCTCAGGGCCTTGTGTGATCACGCATACCATCGGTGGTGTCAATCAAATGCACGCTACCGTGAGACTCTGTGATCACTGACTGAATTTGTTATTAGTATGCCAGCGATGTGGTCACTTTTGAGTTAAGTGCACAGCCGTGAGGGCTGTGACAATATTCAATGATACTATATTTTGGAAATGAAATTTTAAAGAGCAATAAAGAAAGTGGAAATGTTATTGTGGGATGTTGCCATGTAAATTAACTAGGGGTGAATATTTCGGTAGACAGAAAATCGATTTCATTCACTGTTCGTACTGTAGGTTTTCGATTAATTTGTGTGAATTCAGAACAGTTGATTATGAGTTACAAAGAAATTTGATTTGATTTAATGAGTGATTTGGTTCTGTATATGATTCTTGAAATATTTTTTGGCAGGGAAAAGTCAGACTACTAATTTTATATTTCTATATTTTGTATAATTATTTATAATTTTATTTTGATATTTCTCATATGCAAATAAAGAAATAGGTCACACTTCAGTTCAGTTTAGGGTCCAATTCTCACTATTAACTAGATGCTTATTGACCCTCTGAAGACCAAGGTGTATTTGGGGTCCTTGAGATGTTCTGACATGCCCTGACATCTGTGTTTTTTTCAGCTGCTTCTAAAGATATTAATGGCACAGGTGAAATTACACTATATTTAGCAGAAACAGGGCAACCATAATATATGAGCAACATGTACATGTTTGTATTTGTGAGAGAATATTGTTTATGCGTGGTTATTGTAAAAACTAAAAATGACAGTTTCGTAAATAAGGCCACAAAACGCATACTAAATATGCGTCCACAAGACTTTTGAATGCATATTACTAGGATATTGGCTGTTTATTAGTACTTACAAGGCACATATTAATGCCTTATTCGGCATCATCATATTTTACATCCCTTAATCTTACCCACTACCCAAACTTAACAACTACCTTACTAACTATTAATAAGCCATAATTAGGAGTTTGAGGCAAAAGTCACAGTTAATAGTTAATTGTGAGAATGGGACCCTAATCTAAAGTGTGACAAGCAAATGAATTTATTTTGTACAAGAATGCATAGCACTGACAGTAAAGACATTTATAATGTTACAAAAGATTTCTATTTTAAATGCTGTTTCGGTTCATCAAAGAATCCTGTTTTTTTATTGTATAAAGGTTTTCACAAAAATATTAATAAGATTTTTTTCTTGAGCAGCAAATCATCATATTAGATCATGTGACACTGAAGACTGGAGTAATGATGCTGAAGCTTTGAAATCACTGGAATAAATTACATTTTAAAATATTATAAAATAGAAAAAAAAGTCATTTTAACTTCTAATAATTTTTCATAATATTACTGAATTTGTTGCATTTTTTACTGTAAATGCAGCCCTGGTGAGCATACATTTATAAATATTGTAACAAATGTATTTCTCATTGTTAGTTCATGTTAGTTAATACATTAACTAATGTTAACAAATATTACCTTATTGTAAAAACATTAAAAATCTTTGCTATTGTACTAATTCTCAATAAAACTTGATTTCTAGCATCTTATATCAGTGGTACAAATCAAATGATTCACGGTTTAAAAAAAAAAATAGTATAGGATATTTTGAAAACGCTGATTTCTGTCCCCTTTTTTTAGCCTTTGATTCATTTTAGCCAGGTTTTTCAGATTTTATAAATGCACCCCACTGAGCAATCCTTTCCAGAAACCATTTAGTGACCTTGTCAGGCAATTTGCTTTTGAACTTGAAATTGATTATGGTGTTTGAAGTCCTACTGACTAGGTCAAGTGTAGGCTATGTATTGACGTTTCTGTACTGGTGGAAAAGATAGATTTTGACTTTATGCATTGACAGTCACATCTGTTGAAATAACACATGCACTTGGTGTAGTCACGTGATGAGAATGTGACATTGCTTTGTCAAGGTGACTGTCAGGTGTAACTGTCAATTACAGGCCTGGCTAACACAATTAGAGCAAACTGAGTGTTTGTTTCTTCATACTCAAACATCCTCAAAGTTGCTTTTTCCATGCGATTGGTCGTCTGTTTTTGCTGTCTAATATGATTTGCCAAGCCTGCATGTCCTAATAAGTAAAGTAATTGAGAGTCTTATATTGCACGCCACTCTACCATGTAAGGTCCCTTCATGCGGTTACAGCTTTATTATTGTGAAGGAACGGAAGACGTGGTAATGAACATTGTCTTGGTAGATCTGATTAGCTTCTGAACAGGCTTTGCTTTCCAAAAGATGGATTTGCATTTGCATTGCATTTGTTAATAAAGATGGTGGAAAAATTAGTATATGTATAATGTATACTTTTATTTTTTTACTTTTTTTATTATTATTTTTTTTACAATAACACAACAGTGGTACTGGGATCTCATAACAGCTCATACAGCCAAATATTATGTTACAGTCTTTGGATATACATAAAATGAGACAGAAATAATAGTTATGATACAACAGGGCGTATCTGATTTAAAAACAATAAAAAATATTTAAGATATTTAAATATCAAAAATGTTTAAAATAAATATCTAAAAAAAAATTAAAATTAATATAAAATAATAATTAAATTGATTTTAAATAAATATCAAAATATTTAAAATATTTTGTATTAAAAAAACAATAATTTTATGGACCAAAAAAAAAAGCAAGTTTCTCCAGCGGTGGAAAAGTAGCGGCTTAACTCGTCCACATATTGACTGAGGGTATCTGAGGAGATGACCATAGTAGTAATAGTAATACATTTTCTTGCTAAATATAAACAAAAATCATCAAGGCACAGACCAGCTTTACAGTTCAGAAGATATACATTTAGAGACAATGCAAACATCTAGTGTTGTAAGATCACCTAACCCGAGACCAAGACCAAGACCAGAGTGTATCGAGACCAAGACAAGACCAAGACTTTAAGGGGCCAAGACCATGACCGAGGGAGGGCGAGACCGAGTCAAGACCAAGACCAGCACCCCACACTACATCATGACACAATAAAATGTGAAACATGATTAAAAGAGATTGATCGGAAATCTCCTCAGATTGATCTGAAAGATCCACATTTCCATAAAACAGAGATATTTAACACTCAAAGCTGAAATAAACCATCTTTATTCAATACTCCTGGGTGACTTCCATCGTTTAGTACAGAACGTAAAACAAGTCTTCACTTTTCTCCGCCTTTTATTAACAATACATGAACATGAATACATGGGTGACAGGCAGCCGTAACAAAAATACATAATTAGCAATGACCAATGAGTCATGTTATTGCTTGGATTTGAATCAGTACATTTTACATACAATAAAAGCAAGGATGTTAACAAAAAAAAATTGTCAATATACTTGCAAATTTGTGATATTTTCACAGTTATGGTCTTGAAAAGAAAAATCCAGAGTCCTCAATGTCCAAGACCGAGACCAAAAGCGGTCGAGACCGAGACGAGACCGAGACCATCAAAAAGTGGTCTTGAGACTGGTCTCAAGTACTACAACACTACACACATCTGTCACACATAATTTTGTGGATCTCCTTCCTGTAACCTTTAGTTTGATCACAATCCCAAAACACATGCATCACTGTACCAGTGTCGGCCCTGCATTTGAAACATAATAATCGTGGGCCGAAATTGAAACACCTTTATTGAAAACACATGTACAAACAGATAACCACTCGTCGTCACTAAAATTTGAACCTAAGTCCTTTTCCCATATCACCCTCAAAGAGTCAAAAGTTGAAAGACAAACTTTAGACAGCAATGTATTTAACTCCTAGATCTTCTTCTTAAAGCTACACTGCGTAACTCTTTTAGTTTATTCTGAGCTAAAAACACTTAGTTCTTTCAAAAATATATGTGCTCATTAATGTATGTTTACTTCGTTCAAGTAATAAAGTATTCTTGTGAGTGTATAATATGCCATTGAAAATACATACGGGTAAGGGGTTCTAATGTCGGTCGCCATGTTGCCCCTCCATCTTGAAAGTACATTAGCCAAAGAGGGACATACCCGTTAATTCAAGCTTCACCTTTCGCGTTTACGTTTGAGTTAACACTCATGGACGAGGTCGAACTGGAAGCCATGTTAATCTTGGACTACATTGGCCACCGTAGGAGTTAAAACGAAATCGGAATTGAGAGGAACAGAAACTAATATTCCCTGGATGGTCATGTACATTTTCACCGCTAGATGGGGGTAAAAATCACACAGTGTAGCTTTAAGTGTAAATGAAGAAAAAGCTGCTTTTCCATTTCAATAAAATAAAATCGTATATTGCCTTCTTTTAAGTGTGACTCTAAAAAGTGCCGTAATTTGAATAAATTTAATACAAATCATTACTGGGAAGTTAAATTCCTGCCTTAATGACTGAAATGATTTCAATTGACTATTATCAAATAAATGACCAAACTCCAGCACTCTTTATTAATATTAATTTTCTTTCGAGATGTTTCAGCCTTGGCCCGTGGTGGAGATGGTACCATTGGATGGATTCTTGATGTAATTGGTGAGTTCAGATGATGTGAAAATTGAAACCCAAAACACACTAATTTTTCAACTTATTGTTTGTTTTGGCCTTTGGTCATTAGAGCAATTAAACACTGGATTCATGTGGATCTGGGCTTCCATACTGTGTCCATATTGTAAATTAAATCCAGGAAGTTTTCATTATAGATATAATAAAAACTGCAAGCTAAAGTTAAACATCTTAACGTAATGACATCTGCTGCTAAAAAGGCTTTTCTTGTTGTTTCAGAGGTTCTTTTATACAGAAGTGATTTTGTTATATTTGTCGAAATAGTCAAAGACTTATTTTTCACAGAACTAAAGCTATTACATTCGTATCTGTATTTTCGGGGCAAATAGGATGATTATCTTTCTTCAACAAATGGCATATTATTTATATCATCTGAAGAATAGTCTCCGCAGGTGATTTTTTTTTTTTTTTTTTTTTTAGATGACCGTTTCCTCATTTAGTCCTTTATTTGTCGAAAATTGCCTCCATTTTTTATCAATCAAAACAAAGACAGAGTAATAGACTGGATGCTTTCAGAGGAGTGTGTCAGAAAAGAACCACAGTATTTTGACATTGCCATTTATTCCATTATTCATACATACACACATTTGTATGCATATATACTCTAGTTAGTTCAGATAGTGTACTTTATATGTATATGTGTAGCCGTTTGTTTGTGTGTATAGTATATAGCTAGTTTCTAGCCACTCAGCATTTTAACTGGCCACAATTTTGTTTTTGGAAAGTTAAATTTTTTTAGGGGTATGACGATACACAAGACGAGATGATGCACAATATTGGGTTCATGAGAGCAACACTTTTTTTTAACGAAATCTTCATCTTTTCACACACAACCATTTCTAGGGTTTACAAAGAATGGTGTGAAAAGGGAAAAACATCCAGTATGCGGCAGTCCTGTGGGCGAAAATGTCTTGTTGATGCTGGAGGTCAGAGGAGAATGGGCCGACTGATTCAAGCTGATAGAAGAGCAACTTTGACTGAAATAACCACTCGTTACAACCGAGGTATGCAGCAAAGCATTTGTGAAGCCACAACACGCACAACCTTGAGGCGGATGGGCTACAACAGCAGAAGACCCCACCGGGTACCACTCATCTCCACTAAAAATAGGAAAAAGAGGCTACAATTTGCAAGAGCTCACCAAAATTGGACAGTTGAAGACTGGAAAAACGTTGCCTGCTCTGATGATTCTCGATTTCTGTTGAGACATTCAGATGGTAGAGTCAGAATTTGGCATAAACAGAATGAGAACATGGATCCATCATGCCTTGTTACCACTGTGCAGGCTGGTGGTGGTGGTGTAATGGTGTGGGGGATGTTTTCTTGGCACACTTTAGGCCCCTTAGTGCCAATTGGGCATCGTTTAAATGCCACGGCCTACCTGAGCATTGTTTCTGACCATGTTCATCCCTTTATGGCCACCATGTCCCCATCCCCTGATGGCTACATCCAGCAGGATAATGCACCATATCACAAAGCTCGAATCTTTTCAAATTGGTTTCTTGAACATGTGCATATGCTGTTCTTTTCTATAGATAAATCCAACTATGAACATGTACTTCCTCTCAGCACAGAAAATGACCTTGCAAGGGGCATGCTCTGGGGTGGAGGTAATTAAGACTTTTCAATATTTTAATTTGCTGCACGAATGAAACTTTGTGGGAATCCTTAAACGTAAATTCGCACTGTGGATTGATGAGCTAATCAGTTCTTGGGAAACCTCTCATATGTTATCACTGTAATATTTTCACAGATATTTTACACATTAATGACTAATTAGATCAAAATATTACTATTTTGTCAGTTCCTTGTCTTTAAATAGCTGGTGCTCAATAGAGCCGAACCCTAAATTGTAATGTGACCCTTTGGGTTTCAGACTACGATGGAGAACATCTGCAGATTCTCACGGACATTGAGAACAGCACTGCAGTTATGTTGGACAGGTGGAAGATTGACATCACTCCCCTAGATAAAGACGAAGGAGGAGATCCAGTCCTGTAACAGCATTGTGAACAATTACCTCTCTATTGGTGTGGTGAGTGAATGAATTAAAGTTGTATTTGAGGATGTGAAGACCCCATGTGACCCCTTAACAATCAGCATACTTGTACTCTTTCCCTCCCAATAAACAGAGAGGGTCTCGCTTTATACGCGTCTGACCGGTGTGCTGGTCTAGTCTATTAACCATGATACAGTATGTGATGACTGTGAGTGGAGTTTATGAATGAAGAAGTGAATAAGGCCCCTAAGTAATAAGACTAAATGAGCTAATCAAGAGGGCTGAGTGCTTTTTGAAATGCCAAGAGCATCTATTACATTAACAAAGCCATCTCTCATCACTGCAGTGAAGAGCAAAGCTTGCCAATTGGGAATGAAATATGCCGCAGACGCTACACGGTTCTCGTCTTACCGAACGGCGATCAAACACGTCGTGTGTTGATGCATCTCGGGCCGTCTGAAATCTAATGATGCTTATTACGGCGACCGCATGTCAGCCATTATCCAGAAATGTCAAGGGAAATACGGTAATTGACATTTACAGGTTTGACGGCTCTGTTTTATTTTAGATTTGTACACATCTCAAAAAAAAGAAGAAATTGTAATGAGGGAGACATGCTTGGACAAATGTTAGTCGATGTCATTGATGTCATTTCATAAATCAGTATTGATTTATAAAATTTTCTGTCCAGTGTTCACATTTACATAAAACAAGTCTGTGATGGATGGATGGATGGATAGGTGGATGGATGGATGGATGGATGGATGGATGGATGGATGGATGGATGGATGGATGGATGGATGGATGGATAGATAGATAGATAGATAGATAGATAGATAGATAGATAGATAGATAGATAGATAGATAGATAGATAGATAGATAGATAGATAGATAGATAGATAGATAGATAGATAGATAGATAGATAGATAGATAGATAGATAGATAGATAGATAGATAGATAGATAGATAGATAGACAGACTCAGTAATCATTTGGCTACAATTATATTCTACACTATGATTATGAATTTAACATTTCAATGCGTTGACAAATTTAGTTTGTTTGGATTAAAGAGAAGTGCAAATCTCAGTGGGATCAAGGGATATTTTTCCTATCACATTTTACATGAAAACACAAATTCCTTTTGAAAACAACTGTAAACCAATAGAGATTACAGAGCAAGTCGTGCTCATAATTACTTAGCAGATTATGCAAATGAAAAACAATGTCTTCCGTAATTATGTATATGAACTGTAGGAACTAAACAGCCAACAAATGCAGCTGTTGCCAGACAAGATAGTGCAAGAACATTTGAGCTAAAAGGGGTAAGTCAAGACATTTGAAACAAACCAAAAAAGGGTATCCCAGCATCTGAACAAGTTCTTTAACTTTTAAGTTGTTTAAGTTACCAAATTCCGGTAACAATTTAGGGTCCAGTTCTCACTATTTACTAGTTGCTTATTAAAATGCATATTACTAGGATATTGGCTGTTTATTAGTACTTATAAAGCACATATTAATGCCTTATTATACATAACCATATTCTACATCCCTTAATCTTACCCAATACCCAAATTTAACAATTACCTTACCAACTACTGTATTAATAAGCCACAATTAGAAGTTAATTGAGGCAAAAGTCGTAGTTAATAGCTGATAGTGAGACCCTAAATTGGACCCTAAACAAAATGGACATTGAAATGTAAGCAAGTACATTAATTAAAAACAAAACAAGAAAGTGTTGATGAATATAAGAAATACAAAAAAAAACTCTTTTATAAAAAAATGTAAAATCCAAAGTCTAACAAGGTTGGTATAAGAAATGTCTCTCATCTGCAACGCATCAACGAAAACTCTCTCAAATCAAAGCTGTTCTTCATATTAACGCGTGTCTCATTGACTGATTGCCCTGTCAAGTGATATTTTGGGTAATTAGGTACCATTTAAATACCAAAGTTGAAATATCCCTCTCTGTTAGACAGGGGGTGTTATCATTTCGGTCAGAGCCAGAAGCTAGAGACAGTCCCTAATCACACAGGATCGCCTAAGATAATGTAGTCTGTTTCCTAATGACCCTGCGCTCATGTCAAAGTCATTACTCTCCCAGTGAAGGCACATCATCTGCCTGGACAAGCCGTAATTGGACTAAATGGTGAACTATGAGAGAACATTACACATGTCCCTTTATTAATTTGGTCACGAGAGTTTTGCAGTGGTAATTATCGGGGAGGGATGGACAACGGCAGATGAAAGATAGCGAGTGACTGACTGCTGCAAGCCGGCAACTTTAACTTTCGAGTCAATGAAAGGAAATCTGCCGTCTCCTTCATGGACGCCGGATGCGATGACGTCTCTGAAAGCTCCTTGGTTTCAGCGCCGGGCATCAAACCAGAGCCAGGCCGAGGGGAGACCGTGCCTTTGCTCTCATGTTTTCATATTGTGCAGTTTGTAAGAAAAGAGCAATACGATCTTTTAGATACACCTGTCATTTTACCTTTCTTCTTCTTCTGCGTCGAAGAAAACGGAGCCTGGTGGGACCCCGGGCCTCCCTTTGCTCTGCAACTAACAGCGGGTTTAAGAGATGTCAACAGTTAAGGAATTGATTTTTTTGGCTTCTACTAAAACATTTTTCAGCAGTGAGCAAGCAGGGGGTCTTCTGTGTGGAGGTGGTTTCATTGGAGGGGCTGCTTCACAAATGGTCCTATGAGTGTGTTTGGGTCTAGGGGGGAAAGAGAGGGAGGTAAAGGAGAAAGTTTCTGCAAGTTTTTTTTTTCTCTTTTATCTCTAAGCACACCCAAGTTCACTCATGCTTTTGTGTTTTGTACAGTGATCTCCCTCCATACATTTTTGGTATCATTAGCCACGTTTGCATGGACGCTTTTCGGAAATGAATCCGAACTTTGAATAAAGTGTTCGGGTTGATGTGCACATTTGTCATAAGCTTCACATTGGAATTGATCTTTGGACATGCGCACACTGCACAAATATACAGAGTTTCCCGCCATTGACGCAGGGTGCGTCTAAATCGACTCAACCAGTATATCATGTACAATAATTCAGGCACTGGCAAGGACAGTAAGGACCCTGACTCACTACACATTGGGACACTGATGACTCTTTTTATGGCGACAGTCCTCATTGTTCATCATCACTACTGGTATTTATGAACAACAGCAGAACTGATGATATCTTTCCGACATTATTTTTAAATGTTATTTAAATAAATTATGATAAATACTTTGCTTGTTACTTATAGATCCAACATTTCAGCTGGAAATACATTATAAATGTTAGCTAGATTTTGTTCATTACCTGTTTAATGATGTATGTTTATGCTTAAATGTAATTAAACAATGGTTTTCATTTTAAAAAAACATGTCAACAAGTCCGTAGCAAAGTACAGTCAAAAGCCAATAAATCCTAAAGGAAAAGTCAGAACTTCACAAAAATTGATGAGCATGTGTCCTAACATGGGGTGCGTTTCCCGAAAGCATCATTAGCCAACTATGGTCGCAAGTTCCGTCGTTATCAGCATAGTTCAACGAGTCGGTGTTTCCCGAAACCATCGTTCCAACGAACTTTCGCAAACAGCATCGCAAAGTCGTGTGGTTTGAACGACAGCTCTCGGTCTGTGGTTAGAGGCATCGTTTCTATATTGCATGACATTTGGAGGTAATAAATCCTTATCTTGAGCAAAATAAGCAAGCTGACATTCAGTACAACCGGTGTCTTTTATTTCGAATACATACAAATGGAATTTACATCTTTACGTTTTTCAAAAGATTTGAAGTACCGTGTTTGAAGAGTGGGCATGTGCGAACGTGCTCTACTATGTAAGAACGAGCCAAATATTGAGTCTGGTAATAAAGCAAAACAACTGAGAACAATTAGAAATAGTCCTCAGATGGCATGTCTGTAATTTATATAAAGCAAATCTAGCGTTAATTGGATCTCAAACAGTTTCATTAAAAGTAGTTATTACTCGTGCGAAACCAACGTGGTTGAACGATGCTTTGCGACAGTGGGTTTCGGGAAACAGTCGTGACTTCTAGTTGATTTTTCCAACGATGCATCGTACTATGGTAGTGAATCAGCGAACTAAGTCGTTGTACGGGAAACGCACCCATGGTTGGGAAGCATGCAAAGTTTCTTGAAGATCGGATAATAGGTGGTGCTATAATCGTCAAAAGGTCTCATTGTTATTAGGTGTTCCAGCACAAAGTGCTGAAAACCTATTGGCTTTGTAAGGATTTTTGAGAAAAAAAAAAAAAATAGAAAAAAACTCCCCTAAAACGCATTGTACAGCCCAAACCGTAGATAACATATAGGCTAAAAAAACAGAAATCTTCCTTTTGAGGGAAATTGAAGAATGCAATTGTTTTTCTATATCAGAAAGATCAAAATGTATTCTATTGTCCTTTAAAGGGATACTCCACTTTTTTTGGAAATAGGCTCATTTTACAACTCCCCCAGAGTTGAACAGTTGAGTTTTACCGTTTTCGAATCCTTTCAACCGATTTTCTGATATTTAGAGGAATATCAGTGACCAGACATTTTCTGGTCTCGTTGACTTACTGTCTGGTTATAAAACGATTAACTATAGTCTTAAACCTTCAGCACCTGCTAAATGAAATCTGCATATCTTCTATAAGGTGTATAAAATGTCCAAGTTTGTCTTGCTTCTTTTGTCCTTACAAATGATCAGACCATCGGAATCTACATTTCTCAATCAGGACATATAGTCAGTTTACATTCCAACCACCGTCTCTATACATCACCATAGCAACAAAACAGTACAGTACACATATCGCATGCAAGTGCATCTGAACCTCTAACCCGCAGATGTCAGATTGGAAGAGTATCTGTGACGGCGCCAGCAGAGCTGTAGCATCCTGTATATGTGTGCGATTAATTAGCCCAACCGCGTGTTCAGTCCTCTTGTCAATATTCATCATCGTTGGCTAGAACCCCAGCAAAGAATCACAAACACCTTATCTGTTAACACGCATACATATGCTATGCAAAGAACCCAAACTTGTTCCCAGTCACGTGGAAGGGAGATCAGGCCCGTAATTGGTGTTGTGTGGGGAAAGGAATTTAGTTTTTTGTCGGGTTTTAAAATACATTCATCTGGTTTTAAAATAAACACGTCTCTTGTCTGCGACGTCTCTGACGCGGGGCTTTTGTTTATAGCTAATGGCCCATGATAAAACCATCATGAAAGCATTCAATGCAATCCTCAATCTGTTGTCTTTTCATCTTCACACAGCTGTTTTGTCAAATTCAAGATTTTAAGACCCAGATGGATGATGAGAGAATCTGACACACGAGTTTAATACGTCAAAGGCCCCTAACGAAGCATTGTCAGAAGCTCACGAAACATTGATGGCGGCATAACGGTGTGCATAAAAAAACTGATCTGATTTGCTTTTCTCTCCTTTTGTAGGATGCATCCATCACTCATCGATTCCACATTATGAGAGAGAAACGAGAAAAGTTGAACAGCAGGTACCGGTCTTTATCTATCACTGTGTTAACAGCAAACACTTCTCCAACACTGCATCTTTTCTCCCACTGTTTTGTCTGTCATCTCGATCTGTAAGCTCGCCAGCGGGTGTAATGCCCTGATAACTCTCCTCCTCCCCCCTCAGGTGTGTCTTTGAGACTCCTGCCAAGCTTTTACTTCCCTAAAATTAGATGAAGATGTGGGATTGTATTGTTATGGATCCTAAAATCTGATCTTGAGCAGAATAAGCTTCTTAGAGCCATATTTACTAAACATGGCAAATTAGCGTGAGAGTGCAATCCCATAAAAGTGCCAATGGGAGTGGAAAGTTCAGCGCATGATGACGCACACATTAAAGACCACAGACGCAGCCGGATCATTTCCATAATAACCAACACAATCTTCCAAGAGCAGGGCAATTTAGCATCTGGAATAAGACATGCTATATTTGGGCGTCAAATAATGGCGCAAATAGCAGCAAATTGACTAGCGTAAGCCATAGGAAATCACCTTGCGTGATTCTTTTCAATACACTCCTCCCATTAATTTTGCATCTCAAAGGGAAACTCCTACAAAATGCTTACTGTAAGATAAGGTCATTCGCAAAAATAACCGTGTCCAAGCCTCTTCTGCACTTATTTGTCACAGTCCTGGCAGTTCTTTTTGGTTACTCTTTATTTCGATAGTCACTTTAGACATTCTACTAACTATAAGTAACTTTTCAACTACATGTCAACTAACTGTCATTAGAGTATATATTATAGTAGACTGTTAGGTTATGGTTAGGTGTTAGGCCTTTGGTTAGGAGAATAAGTTTACTTGTAGTCACCAAGTTAGGCCTACTTATAGGACCAACAAAATAAAGCAGAAGCTCTAAAATGGACTATCAAAATAAAGTGTTACCCTTTTTAATGCCAAAAGCGGATTTGCGATGGAGCAAGTTGTTAATAAATCTGTCCCTTAGTCTAAAAGATGAATATTTTTAATGTGATACTAGAAGTTAATATGTGCTTATAGATCGAGAAATACTGTTTAAGGCCACAACATTCAAGATTATAAGGCCTAAATGCATCAGTAGTGGATAAGATGTAGTCTGATTTAAAAAACAACAATACAAAAAAAACAAACTATTAATTAATTGTGAGAAGTATACATATACATAGTGCTGGGTACATTACTTGCAATGTAAGTCCAGTACTGATTTCAAATTACATGGCAAAAATTGTTAGTATAATAATCTATTACATTACACATTTTAAGGTATAATCAAACTACTTTTTGAATACTTTTATATTACTTTTGCATGACCTAATCACATTGAATTGAAGAGAATACTATTTTACCATAGTGATATACAAATAAGAAAAAAATAAAACATATTCAATTTTTTATCATCAACAGGAACATTTAAAATGTGACAAATAAGAATTAGGGAGAATCAATAAGTTCTGAATGATTTACAGCCATTGTGTGAATAATATTTAATCATGTACAGTATGACATAGCAATTGTAGTCTGATTACAAGTATTTTAAAAAACAATATAATCACATAATTTAGGGGATCTGATTACTTAATCCAGATTACATGTAATCAGTTACTACCCAATACCACCCCTAATCTGAATATTAGTATGGATTATTTTTTAAGGCTTAATATTGAGAGGCAACTATAAATAAAATGATTTCCCTAAAGAGGTTAAACATTTTGTCTCTCTGTGGTGTTTTTAATGCTTTCAGTGCTTTGTCTTGTTTGTTTAAGCCACCCTTCTCAACCAATGGTGTAAATTTGGAGCAGGATTTTCTGTTTGTCTAACCAACAGTAGACCTGGAAACGTCTCGGTTGCTTATGAATCACCCATTGCGGATGAATGTAGTCAACGTCGACTGAATGGGATCATGCCGTCTACGGCGAACGTGAAATACTGGAAGGGAACCTGTTTGAAAACATTACTTTTGCATCTGCATTTACTGATGCCAGTGTGGCAGATATTATACACTTCACCTTTATTTTATCATATATATATTTGGAGTAACATATAGTGACACAGGTTTACTCAATGCAAATAGATGTACTATTTCCTGATCTTTTAGCACTAGCAGAGCTTTCAAGCAACAGATGTACTGTAGGTGCTCCTTTGTGTGTTTCGTCCTTTGCTGAAAGGATCTGAGTGATGTGGAACATCTGTGATTAGCCTACAATGTGTGCACCTTCTAATGATGAGCAAATTTGATATCCATGCTCCCATTAATATTTAATGTCCCAATAAGTCAGTACGAACGCAGGCGAGTAATTGGTTGGGTAATTGAATTTGCTTGGGTAGTTTGACATCATTTTTCCATCACCGTGATGACACAAGACCTTCAGGAGAGTCTTTTAATAATCAAATGATAATTATACTTTCTACGTGCGATACTATTTTTCAAACCTGGCGAGCAGATAACATTTTAATTTGAGGAAATCAGGATTGGCCAGAAGACAGAAGGCATGACTGTTGATGTGGATTCAGATCTGTGTGGGAATAATCAAACAGCATTCTGATCACACAAGAGTCTGTGTACAGGAACCGTTTTCTACCACTGTGTCTTTTGAATAATGATTAAGATATTTTAAGAAAATTATACCATCTGTTATTTGAATTTGATAAATAATTCACATGGGAGAATGGGTTTAGATCTCTCTCTATTTCATAGTATCTTTTCTCCCTCAATAATGTATGATCATAGTTAGGAAGGTATTGTAGATTTTTTTGTTGGATTTTTCTTGGACCTTTTACAAATAACTATTTTAATAAATCATCATATTACTGAAGCAAAGGACATGCATATCTGGCTTACAGTTAAAGGCGCTGGAGGGTTTTTATGGATTTTGATCCCGTTCTATGAAACGGGAGCTGTTTCAAGTTTGATAGGTGGATTTTAAAGTACATGTTATGTATATATGTTTGTGTGTGGTGTGTATATTTAAGAGAACCAGTTACAAAATGTTGTCTTTTAAAAATGTCTGTAGTATAAAAGTCGGCGTAAGACAATGCCACCCGTTTTTCGTCCAGTTGATCAATGTTTTTTGCCTGTGCAAGTGTGCATTACTGGTTACTTCATTTAAATGTTTTTAGACCATTAAGTATATTGCTTTAGGCTAGAAAGCTTAAATGGTCTATATCCATGTTAGGCCATTGGCCATTGGTCTAACATAATATAACGTAGCCCAGAAATTAACATCTTTTTCATGACTTTTTGGCTGTTTTCTCCGTGCAACTTTTCCAATCTCTAACATGTTTTTCCTGTTAACACCGCCTGTTATTGAATGTCATTGCATTGACCTTAGCGAAGACACAAATATTTGATCGGCTTAATGAGCAACCCAACAATGGCCAATTGGTTTTTAATTATAACGCGGCATCGTCTTGTTGATAACGGACGCGGGGTCTTGAGCGAACCCGACTCCCTGGTTTTATTTGCACCTCGGGTGATTACCAGGAGGAAAGTGAGAAGATTTGACACTTTGCAGATAGATTAATTTACTGCTGGAGTAAGACCAGAGGGTGATAATGAGGTCGAGGATTAAAAGCAGACAATCAGTATGGCAGCGTCGCGTGGACTCGTTAAAGTACACTTTCTCTCTCATCGCTGATCATTCATGCGCTTCCAAGATAATCTCTGTCTTCAAGATGATGAGAAAAAGGAGAAAAGAAAGTGTCTCAGTTGTCTTCAGCTTTGGGAACTTTATTATTACACTACGTGTGCCATCTTTTTAAATGAGGGGTCTTGTCTTCAGAAATAATCATGTGATTTGTTAAGTTGGTTTTAATCATCACTGCCATCTAAAAATACAAAAAAAAAACAATGCCGTTTGAAAGCATGTTACAATGTTTGATGCAGATCCCATATTAAATTCAGATTTGACAATACTAACAATAATAGCTATGGTATCGTGGTGAAAAAAGTCAATTTTTCCACATAAGTTACTTTAAAAGAATATTTATGTTTGTATATATATATTTTTGTTGCAAATCTTTTGATTTTTCTTTTTCATGGATACAACAAGTAGATTTTCCATGTTCATACAGTAGATGTAGTACTTTTTTTATCAGAACTGTTCAACATTTTGGGGTCAGTAAGATTCTTCTGTTTTTAAGAAGGAAATTCTTAAAAATAAAATATTTTGATTTTTATATTTAGTACTTCTATTTCAAATGCTGTTCTTTTAAAATGTATATTCCTCAATGAATCCACCAAAATGATAATAATAAGAAATGTCTGAGCAAATTTCAGCTTTGCCATCACTGGAATACATTACATTTTAAAATATATTGAAATAGAAAACTGTTATTTAAAATTGTAATAATATCACAGTATTACAATTTTACCGTCTATTTGATCAAATAAATGCCATCGTCAAAAACATTTAAAAAATCTTACGGACCCTAAACTTTTAAAAAAGACCCTAAAATTTTATTTCTTACAAATTTTTAAAGACTTGCTCAAGGCTTTTAGCTGTTCATTATTGCATTGTAGCCATTTCCACATTCACTCCAAGTGTTATTAATGAGTGATTTATTTTAGCCGTATGATACTGACCAGAGAGAGGAGCGCTTAAGCTCTACTAAGGCGTTTTTGAAACAGCCTACCGCTGACCAGTATCTCCTTAAGGGTGACATGCTCAGCCTGAGGCGGTCATCTTTAATTATTCTGTTTAACCTTTCCTCAAGTCGGAGGGAGGCTGAACCATAGAGGGCCGTTAAGCGTAATGAGGGTCCTCATCAAAAAGCTAATGCAGGAGCTATGACTGTTTGACCCACTGCTCTCTCTCTCTCACACTCACACACACACATGTAAGCCATCGCACCAGGGCCCAGGGCACCAGCGCTATGCACACTGCTCCTCATTTCAAATGAAATCGCTGGTCTGACTGGGATGTCATCTATAATTAATGACCACTTCAGAGTGTAATTTATTGAGATCTCACCTGTGGCCCTGTCCCCATCCCTGCTGGACTTTCAA